AGATACGGCTACTCTACTTAATGAACGCTGCCACTGATACAACTGGCATTCAAAATTCTACGTTTGATGACAGTAGTAATGACTAGGTTTTGTGTACAGGATCCCTAGTGTAGTGCGTTGCACAATATTACATTAGCACAAATAATGGAAAATAATCAACCAACCAACCAACAACACCAACGGCAGCAACATCCAGCGCCAATCACCATCAACGGGAGGGATTTGAAAGACGTTAGCTCATTCATTCACTTATCTAGGGAGCATTGTCTGAACTACAGGCAGTAGGAACGGACGAGGATGTCGAATCGAACGAGAATCGGGAAGGGAGACGAGAGACACATTCATCAACCTGAAACAACCAATCTGGAAATCTTCGTCACTCAGCCAGCATCAACAACAAAATTCGGTCGGATTTTCAATGCAAACAACGTCAAGTCAGTCAGTTCTTCTATACGGAACGGATCAGAAAATTGGCGGGCGGATCACAAAGAATATTTCCAACAGCCTGTTGCAGACCTTTATCAACAACCAACTCTCTTCGCTGGATCTATACTGAAGATCAGATATGGCCGGGCCGGAAAGAATCACCAACAAGAAACCATGGGAACAAACAAAACAAGAACCAATCACCAACCAACAAATATACAGGAGAAAGTGGAGATGGACTGGACACTCGCTCGCTGAGGAGGCTGGCCGCTGGGTGACATCGCGCGTCAGGCCATTACTCGAGTGGAACCAGGCTGAAAGGGAAGCAAGCGGCGAGTGGGACGTCAGTGCAAGGGTGACATGGAGGAGGTCGCGTGAAGAGGAGTTGAAAGAGTATGAGCTAACATGGATGCCGGTGAAAAGTACAGCAGAAGAAAGACAGAAGCAAGTGGAGACGTGTAGTTGAATCCCTATGTTCCACTACGAACCCAAAGGAACTAAAATAATAATAATACTGAATGAACGGCCCCATAGTTATATTAGTGTATTTTCAATCAAATTCAAAATATGATCCATTCTTGAGAAACGTTTTATTTTTGAATATTCGGAATACATAAAAGAGTGAACTTCTCATGCACAGTAGCTCTGTGTATGGCAGCGAAGTGGCGAAAATTATTTATTTTTTAATTTTTTATTATAGCTTGATTCCACACTGTATTTTTGGTACAAGTATGGAACTTTCGGCATGGATATCGGTAGCCCAAATTTTGCAGGCCGACCATAGATATCAGGTGCTCGTCGGCAGGGGATGGAACCTCGGACCATGTGCATGGTCGGTGAGAGTTCAAACCACTGATGCACTACTTTCTACAGAAGTCTGATGTGGACTGACATCCTAGTGTGAAACAGAGTCGAACAGTAACCTTCTTTTACCTCTCATAACTCTTCAGTGATTTTGGTAGGCTGACAGTTTTTCCAACAACTGGCTTTGTAAAATATCCGCTATATTTTACTGTGATAATTCCATCTGTTAACTGTGAGACAACATAGTAAAAAAGGTGGTGAATCCTAGGAACGTGCTGGAATTTAAGTTATGACATGCTCACAAAACATCGATAGGCATTTCGATAGGTGTAGTGCTAATCTTTGCATACCGAAGTGGCGAATCCTCCCTTTACTAACCAGGACTGTAAATGCAGTAGTTGTCGATAGTTACATTTTGTTATTAACTACCAACCTTGAATATTCTGTGTATATAAACATGTATATAATTGTAGAGCCAGAAGAGGAATTTATCGAAAAGAATATTCTTTGCTCGATTATGTTGTGTTTTACAGTTACAGTCGTCAATTGGACCCTCAGTTCCACAGGTTTAGATTATCTGGACCTATTAGTTTTTGTGTCAACAGAGATTTAGAGCGCTGAAGACTCCTGACTGTAATTTTCAATAAAAGCGCCATTTTCATCCTCAACATACAGATACTCTACTTGGTCAGTAATTACGTCTGTTCGTCACCGAAAAATATAGACATATTACACACAAACCTACTGCTTTGAAGAGACATAATCTCAATGGGTATTCCAGAGTTGTGAGTGGATAAGACGAATCTGCTATTAACCGAATTCTACAGACCTCTTATTCTTGGCGAATAGTGAGTGGGGATTCTTATTGCTGTCATGCCAGTCATTTATGGATTTGAAGGTTAATTTAAGAAAAACAACCGTTTTTCAAATCGTGGAAAATGCCAATCGGGACATTAGAAGTAAATGAACAAGAAGTTCAGCTAAGATTTCGTTTCGGTGATTTCATTCTCAAGACCCCAACAGTCGCATTCATATACATACACATATTATTCCCTTGCGCTCCAAATGGGATATAAGGCTTCAAAAGCACATCTCCACTTCATTCTGTTTTCTGCCGTCTTCTTCATATGGGTCCACGATTGACCAAACACTCTCGTCTCTTCTTCACACGATCTCCTCCATGTCACCCTCGCACCGATGACCCACTCGTTGCTTCCCATTTGGATTTCGCTTCAGGTCCCGGCAAGTGACGTATGTATGCCAGATCCACCTCCACTTTCTCTCATACATATGTTGAGCGATGGACTGTTGGTTGGTTTGTTCTCATGGTTTCTTATTTCTGATTCTTTCTGGCCGGGTGGCCACTTTATCTTCTGTGTGGATCCAGCGAAGGCAGCTGCCAATAAAAGTCTGCAGCTGGCTGTTGGAAATCCTTTTTTGATTTCACACAGTATTTTTGGTACAAGTATGAAATATTCAGCATGTGATATCGGTAGCCCAAATTTTCCAGACCGACCATAGATATCAGATGTGCGTTGGTAGGGGATCGAACTTCGGACCGTGTACATGGTCGGAGAGATTCTTAACCGCTGTGCCACCCACACGTGTGCTAAATTTCTGACCCATATAGAAAAACTGACTGATTTCACATTTGTGTTGAAATTCTGTATCATGTTATCTATGCTGATTGGGTTCAGAAGATTTCCAAACTGGTTTCAGGTAGATGAATCCGTATCTTGCCTTTCCGATTCTGGCTTCGACATCTTCGCCCGTTCCACCTGCAGTTGAAACGGTGCTTCCCAGATAAGTGGGGGAGGCGACCTCTGTTAGATCTCTCCCACCTATGGTGATGGGTGCTGGCTGCTGTTGTTGTTGCAGTTTGTTGAATACATTCATCACCTCCGTCTTCTCAAGTTTCACCTAGGATACGGTGCTCGCCGGCTGCTCTTCAGCCAGTTTGTTGGTTTTCGCTTGCTATTCCACGGCTTGTGTGTTATTAGACATATATCACTCACCCATATACCACGCGAAATCAGGATCTTCCAGAGTCGTAGTTCTGCATCCAGTGCATCCTTTATTCCCTCCAAAATGATACGACTTAGTATTTTGCTTGGCGTGGACAAGAGTATTATTCCACACCAGTTCTTGTGCAGACGCAGGTTGCCCTTCTTTGGCGGTTTGACGAGGTAGCCCTTCTTCAATCAGTAGGCAACTTATCTTCTTTCCAAACTCTTTACAGTATTTCAGTGAGAATATCTGACGTAGTCTATTGGGCCGTCTTCAGTGCTTCGGGAAGAATGCTGTCTGGTCCTGCCACCTTCCCGGACTTCAGCAGCTTGATCACATTCAGGATTTCTTTTTCCGCTGGAAGAGAAGTGTCCACTGGCAGTTTTGTGAATGCTGTTGGTGGTATTTCAGGGCTTGTTGCCGGTGGTGGTTGATTCAAGAGTCCTTTAAAGTGACCAGCCCACTGTTCGATATGTTTCTCCTCCTTGGTGATCATTTTCCGTTGAGCACCTTTTCATCATCTAGGTGGATGCCTCCCGGATAGAGGCTCGGTTACCTGATGTAGCGTCAAGATGTCTTTTTTGCCTGTCTGTCTGTCCTGCTTCAGTTGTCGGCCAGTGTGTCGTAGAATTGTGGTTCGTCTTTGCTAGCATTCTTCTTCACTTCTTTATTCTCTTAATTACGTAGAAATACTCTCGGAGGAGAAACATACATATAGGTGCAATAAAGATAGGAGCCAAAAGATATGTCAGTATTTGTGGCTCATATCACCAAGACAGTGACTTAGAGTGCTAACGTTAAGAAGAACAAGAGAAAGCGTAAATTCAATTCACAACATGACCAGAAACCTATATGTTAATGCTAGACTTCATAGGAATCAGTGCTTGCGTGCAGTCTTAGAATATGCTAAAAATAATAAAAACGACAGAGTAAAATGGCAATGCGCTGATGAAGCCCTCTGTCCCAAACGAAAACGAATAGTAATAAATCCCGGGGTAATCAGTCACTTGGTCAGAATAGGATTTAGCTCATTTATGGAGGGTCATTTCGTGCTGGGGTGGAAGACCTGGTGCACAAAGCAATTTATTCTTGCGCTGCAGATTATCCAAGGAAGCGGAGACCGAAAGCATTAGTCTATCCTTACATATATAATGTGCAGATGACTCAGTATTTGAAGGCTCGCCAGCTATGCGTGATGTTAGGGTTCTGTCCACGTCCATATCTCTCCCAAACGTGCCTTAGTTTAGATGTCGGTAGTAGTCTTTGAAAATTGAGGAAGTTGGACGTGAAGCTAGCAACTGATAACAACACTACCGATACTGAAGATTCTAATGCTTGTAGCTCCATGTTCAACTCTCAACTCGAAGAATGAATGAAACTAGACCGCATGTCATTTGAGATGTTACAGTTTTCTTATGAAGTTGATGTCACTCGTGAATCTCCCGTTCACTAATCATCTGGCCTTTCATAGAAGAAAATAATGGGTCTTGACATTCCGAAGTAAACAACTTTTTTGAGCGCTACTCGGCATCATAATGCATGGTGGGAGGTTTACACTTCAAGGTCGTTGCTGGACAGATTTTTGATTGACAGTGAGTTGGGTTGCCTCTTCATAAACTTGATGTTATCTGAACTGCCGTTTTACGAGTTTTGTCACATATAAAACTTATTTTTTAGAGTAAATCCATATATTCATTTTATTTATTTTTCATTTAGTTTCATAACTTTTGTTTTCCACACAACGTTTCTCGGATGAGCGTTTGATGTCGACAGTTAGGGAATTAAAGTAAGTCACTCGTGTTTTGGATTTCGAGTATAATTGTTTCTGTTGTTTTTCTTTAAAAGCATTTATGAGTATTAGCTAAAAAATTTCTCCACTTAAAAATTGCATCCTAATCCGATAAGAATGGTAAAAAACTATGTGAACAGTTGGCATATTCGGCAGTAAGAGAAATTGGCAAATTTTGGTCTGGATATAATTCTTCCTAATTTGGGCATTAATCGACCAAGATTTAACCAAAATGTTTCGTTTATTTAACCATCACTTTTCTTTCTAACCATTATTTAACTACACTTTGTCCGTTATATTATAACCCTTACCATTTGCCCAAAATAATGCTTATTCTGGCTACTCCTTAACTAGCCTTCGTCCGTTTTTTCTAACTGGGATCTATAAAAATTCGATGTGTCTAATAGTCCTAGACTGTCAAGATAATGTGCGTTCTGCGGTAAAAGTACTGAGTGCATACATAATCTGGAAAATGAGAAAATGTGACCAGTTGTGCAGACATAGTGTGATTAATGCATAATGAATCTCGCTATAATCTACACATTGTTCTAATTTTGAGGCGTGTTGAATTGTTACCAAAAAGTACCGAGTGGAGTTCACCAGAAGTTTTTTGGGAGAGATTTCGCTAAAGTGCTGAATGAGTAACAGCGGTAAGAACCTACTTAGTACCTGTGTCAAAAAGAATAAAAACACAGCATGAAGCATTTATGCATTGATATGCATGTGTTCTGTATATATCCATCAAACTATTACCACTTACCTATAGGCAACTTAAAGCTCTCGGTTTTAATGTCATTGCTGTGCTAATTTGAAGCCTAATATTATCCTTACAGTCAAGAAGTGAGCACAAAGAAATTGATTTGGTTTGAACTAGTTCGTAAAAATGATGTTGTATATTCATGTTTTTGAGGATTGGTTTTTGGTGATTGCATCCTCCATGGTTTTTCTTTTTAGTTGGTTTAAGTTGTATTAGACGTTTTCGATTCACTCGTAAGCTTATATTATATTTAGGTTGAGGTTTTTAATTGAGTGTAGGAGGTTTCAATAATTATCTGCGTTTCCTCATTCCTCTCTTAAACAAGAGTTTTGAGGAGTAAGACATCACTTTTTCTGAAAGTTGATCCCAAAGTTAATGTGTAAATTGTGGAGAGACAGTACTTCAAAGCCATATGGTTCCATTTTAAATTCTGAACTCTCGTGCTGTGTTCTCTAAGATGTTCGATCTTAGCTGTTCCTTAGAATTCTCAAACATTTCTTCGGTATCATGAGGGTAAGAGACTCAGTCACTTAAGCTGTTTCACGTATGATAAATGAGTTTGGTCTTTCCAGTATGTGTGAGTCCGCTGTTAGTCAAGGACTGACTGATTAGATACAGCTTTCTAGTGTAGACCTCATCAGAGATGTACATAAATTAGTGAGCGTTTTCTAGATGATTCTATTAGATGCTGTATATTAAATTTATTTTATTTTGCTTTAAGTGTATGGCTTGTGTTTAATTTCATCTTGGATTTTATTTCTACCTATGAAAAGCAAAACGTATCACTGATAGACTGTCTTCTAATGAAATGGTAGAGTTGGTTATGAAAAAAAAACCAGAAAGATAACTATTGAGCGCACACTGCGATATTCAAATTTAAGTTTGCCTAAAAACGTAATTGCAAGTCTTTTATGTTCCTCACTCATTTAAATATCTAATGTAGCAAACAGCAATTCAACCTTAATTTTTGACACCGTTACCAGAAGTGCTTCGGTTGTTGCTATCTGGAGAGAAATCATGTCATAATTCTGTTCAGAGTAATATACATTTGATAGGAAATTTTTCATAACTTTGATATATAAATGGGTCTCATTTTAGGGGACTTCGTAATACAACCTTCCGAGCTTGTAGTGCTTTTTACACCACTTAAAGTATGGCACAGAATCCATATCTTTGGGTATGATTTGGATGTTTTCGTGATGTTTTGTTTTTGAAAATGACCTGACTTTTTAACAAAGCTTATAGTCACCTAAATAAAGATGTATCCAAGTTATCTGAGTTGTTTTTATACACCTTTGATTATGTCACGAAGCACTGCATCGAATGTACCCTACAAAAACAGTTGAATTTGAGGCTAGACTACTATTTTAATTTTTGCCTGGTTTTTTAGCCTTACTTCCGGGTTATAAAGACCAATTCCCAGGGTGTAAACTAATCGCAGTTTGCAGCAATATTTTCATAATGGAAACATGATGGCTTTGTTTATCTAGTTTTCTCGGCTTTTTAAAATACAGTTTTGACGTGTACATAGGAGTATGTGCAACACTTTGGGAAAAGTTACTATAATCGATAAATATGTTGTAAAACAGATACGATAAGTGAATATAATATTCAAAATTAAGACGATAAAAGTGAGTGCATTCGCACTTCTTTGACCAACTTTAAATTGGTCATCAAAAGTATCTGACAATTATTTCCCACTACCGTAAGTATATCAGTAAATTAACTGCCTTAAAAGTTTAGGTCAGCAGAGTTACTCATATACGTTGAAGTATTTGTCAATCATGGTTAGTGTGAAAACTGCGAAAAAATATAGTTATGTTCTATACGTGTAGAAATTCGTTAGTCGCTTATTTTCGTATAATGCACACGGACTATTTTCCACAAATGTGTAGATATCCTGCCAATTTTTCAATTAAATCTGCGTGAATCAGTCAGAATTTCTCACTCACAGTTTCATTGGGATGTACCCTACTTGTTGTATTCATGCACCTCTATGTTTAATCAAATTATAAGTCGCAAAACTGAATTAATAGACTGGAAGATGATTGTGTTAAATTTCATGAGTGATTTTGAGTTTTGTACTTTCACTGATACTGAAAAAAGCTATTTGATGCACAAAACCAAAATTTATTTCTTAACTATTCAGGTGGAAAAAGTATCACAGAATCGTAGGTTCAGATATTTAAACAAAAACCGTTACCACATTCTCCAAGTTTGATATAAACTTCACGCTTGTATGTGAGAACATCGCCTAGTTTACTAGTCAGTCTACCACTAGTTTTCTAACCTGTTTTAAGCACAGAAAAAGAGGGAAGGCTGGGCGTGAGGGAGGGGCAGCATCCCTACTCCGGAAAATCAGTACAATCGCTACAAAAACTTCGAAGCACAAGAAAAATATTAAGAACAAACAAACTTATATTCTTCTCTGGAATCAGAGACACGCGGAATGACACAGGCTGGTGGATACCTTTCGGGGAGCCAGTTATTCCATGCGTCTTCTTTCGATGAAATTAAAAGCAAGCATAGGGACGTGGAATTGAAACCCTCCCTATGTTCCACTCGGAACCCGAAGAAATGATAATAATAATAGAGTGATTGGATGACCTAAATATCATTATGGAGTGTGGCGAATTGAATTGCCGCACATCGGTGCAAAGTTCTAGTGCAAAAACAGACACATAGACAGACTATTATCCTTAATTCAGATATTGATATTAGGGCTGCCTTCGATTCGTTGGACAGAATTGTGCTCTGGAAATGTCTGTTAGAGAGAGGTGTACCTGAGAAATTTGTTAACATCTTGAAAGCGCTATACGGAAACACCTCGGGCAGAGTGAGGGCATACAACCAACTATCATCACTATTCCCAACCAACAGTGGGGTTAGACAGGGCTGCCCAATCTCTCCATTTCTCTTTAACTTTGCCATCGATGACATTCTGGAGTCAGCTCTGAAGGATGTGCGTGAAGGTGGTGTAGATCTGCTACCTGGAGATAGACTTTTCAACCTCGAGTATGCATACGATATCATCTTACTGTGCAATAGCATGCAGGCTGCCCAAATTGCACTTAATCAGACTGGAAAAAGCTAGCGGCGGTCAAACAAAACTTGGCTTCACCAGTCAATGAAATCCACAACAGTTGGTCTAAGCCACGTAGGAAGGTGTAGACTTCCAGGCTGGGGTCCTCGGGACGGTAAAAATCTAGGTTGGAAACAATTGGTGACATGGCTCAAAATCGTTCTCAGTGGCTAGCGCAGATGCATCCACTCCTTGTGACTTATGATCTTCAATGAAACTGTTTTGTATTTCTTTATTACTCCTTTGTCTCACACCTCTGCTCACTGTTTCTATTATGCTTTTCTTGTACTTTCTTCTCTTGCTTCGCGTGCTACACGGAATGTGGCGACTTGAACTTCCGCACATTTGTGCAAAGTTCTATGTCGAAAACAGACAGACAGACAGACTTAATCAGTTGGCGATCAGTGTCTGTAAGTATGGTATGTGTTTTGCGTTGTCTAAGTGCAAAGTACTGTTATAAGATTGGCAGGAGTCTGTACCTGCACTCACTGTTGGGGGTGAACCGCTTGAAGTTGTTGATAAGTTTGTGTATCTGGTTGGGTAGTTGTGTGGGTGCTGGTGGAGGGGTGACGGATGGGATTTCCAACCGTATAATGAAGGCTGGGGTGGCATACACCAACATGAGTCACCTCTGGCGCCGTCGCGATGTTAGCGTGGCTGTCAAAGGTCAGGTATACAACGCTTCGGTGTGGGCTGCCATACTCTACGCCTGTGAAACCTGGCCTCTCCGATAGGTTGACGATGTGTGGCGACTCTGCGTGTCCGATCATCGCTGTCTCCGCAGGATTGCTTGCGTTCGATGGCATCATCGCGTGAGTAATTCTGAGGTTCGGCGGCGTGTGTGTGTTTGAACACAGTGGAGATCACCATTCATTGAGTGTCGTCATTTGATGGAAACACCGGCTCCGGTGGCTTGGACATGTGCTGGGAATATCATCCCAGAGGCTCCCGTACAGGTCTCTGTTCGCTAGCCGTGGGACGGGATGGAAAAGGCGGAGGGGTGTGTGGTCAGTCCATGACGTGGTGTCGTGGGACGAAGGATTTTTGTGCTAGATTAGCATCGGTTGGTGTGTCACAGGTCCCTGGTTGGTGTCCGAGAGATAGCTCAAATCGATGGCTCGAAACGTTATCGGATATGGTCAAGAATCGTAATCAATGGCGAACGCGTTGCAATTTCCTTCTTTCTTCCCTTCCCGATGATAGTTAACGAACACTGTTTTCCTTCCAGATGAAGTTCTTTACCTGTTCTCTACTTATATATTCTTATTTCCTTTTGATCTATGTTGCTTTATTATTATTGTGTGGCGCATCCTTCTTGATACCATATTGTACCAAGTTTTTATGCGTTTAAATAAATAAATAAATACTTAATTCAGAAGTTGAATTATCCACAGTTAACTTGTTACAGATGAATAGATATAAAAGTCCTTTTGACTTTTTTCAGTGTGAAAAAAACCAGACAGTTAAATCAGTCACTTTTTATTTTGAACCTCTATCGATTGAAGTATCTGTAATAATACAGACTACAACACACAATCACCTGCTGTTTTTATCGATGAGTAATGCCGTCTAAATTAGGATTAAGGTCGAAGTAAATTATTAAATGTGGTCAAGTGAAGCCTTGATCCCATTTCACAAAGATGTATACATACAGTATTAGTGTAGCACACGAAGTTACTACTATGTCGGTCAAGATGTCACACTTATTTGAATTAATTTTACAAAGTTATTGACTATATGTTTGAATTATATCATGAATTATAAGTTTCTTCTTCAGGGTTTACAGAATGGTGAAGGTTTGTTTTTGGATCTTGCTACTTACTAGAAAGATGTTTTGCTTAACGTTCTACGTTAGGAAGTTAAGGCAGTCTGGTATAAAGCAGTCTTTGCTTTCTCAGTTTGTCGATTCTTGCATTTTACCCATCCTCCTTTACTGCTCCCCAAAAATCTTTCCTGGACTACTTAAGAAAGACTTTGCTTTGCTGAGAAGGGCAGGCACTAAAAGCCGTTAGTAGGGCAAGTGGGATATCGTTAAACCAACTGGTTAACACTATTGTGGATAGACATATAATGTCATGTAAGAAACTAGCGAATACAATATTGTCAGACCCCGAGAATCCTCTCTATACGCAGCTGTTTCCTTGAATTTCATCTGGTAGAACTAGAAGCAGCTATAGGAGGCTATATGCTAGGACTACCAAGTACAAAAACTCCACAATATCATATCTGGCACAGCTGTTATGTGATGAGAAATCCGTTCGGTATAACACGATCAACTTACTGTGGCACTCTAACAAATAGTCCCATTGGTATTGGTTTTCCTTTCTTCGTTACCATTATATTGTTGTTCACACTTCTATGCGTCGGTGGCACAGTGGTTAGGACTCTCGCCACCCATGCACATGGTCCGAGGTTCGATCCCCTGCCGACGAACACCTGATATCTATGGTCGGCCTGCAAAATTTGGACTACCGATATCCAAGCTGAAAGTTCCATACTTGTACCAAAAATACAGTGTGGAATCAAGCTGTAATCAAAAAAAAATAAAAATATTACACACTAATTTTATATTTTATATTCTGTGGTGTATTGTTTAAAATGTAAATGCAACGCTGTTCTTTTTATTTGTCTATTTTTTTGGTTGTTGCTTTTTGATTTTAAAATCTTATAAAATTTATGAGGTAATTGGATGCAATGTATTGTAATGCACACTGAAAATTCCATAGCTGTACCATAAATACTGTTTGGAATAAATCTGTTATTATTATTAAATGTAAGCTAGTCATATCACCAATTTCCTCCAGTCATTAGTTCTTACAATACCGAGGACCCCAACCATCCATCAAGCAGTCTCCACCTCCCTATGTGGTCGGTTAGTTGGCTTAAACTAACTGTTATGAATGTGATTGACTGATGAAGCCATGTTGGTTCCGGTTTGAACAGCACTATCTGTTTTCCAACCTTATCGATCCCATGTTAGCTAACATTGCCCATCGAGGAAGGCGTTGACTAGACTCGCGTAACGCATGTCCTAACCATCTCAGTCGATGTAAATTCACAACGTCGTCGATTGATTTTCCCCCCTCCTTACCTAACACTTGACGCCTAACCACCTGAATATTATTCACCCAATTACACTTACCACCAAATATGGGAGATAGGATGCAGGCACCTATGATCAAAGACAGCCAGCCAGGCTTTTCTTTTCTTTTGCTTTCAATAAACATGTCTCACGGCCATAAAGGAGGGCTGAGTGAACTGCTGCTGAACAGTACGCACCTCGTTTGGTCGATAGCTATCCAGATATCACATCTACTAAGCCAGAGATAGCGTAAGTTGGGAAATGTTAAACGAGCCCTTTATATCCATGTTGAGATTTGGTCAGCGATCAACCCTCTGGGGTTGGCTGATGCAACTTCCCAAATAAGCGAAATAGCGGTCAGCAGGCTCCTCCATCAGTTCACTCCTGCCTATCTTTAAACCAGCTAAGAATAGTTGATTTAGTCCAGTCCTGTAGCCTCATCATCTTACATTTAACAGAAGCGAAGTGCATGCCAAACATTGTTTTCATTCGTGTGTATAAGGGTAATTTTCTCCCTAATTTTGTTCCGTTTTTTAAATCTAAGATTACATGCTGAGAATGCCATATTGTATCAAATGTACTGTTTGAAATAAAGTTATTATTATTATCAATAAATTGGTAGATGTATTTTGGTTAATATACCTACTCTACTCTACACGTCTTATTTCGAGGTGTGCCAACTTTGTGTGTGTGTGTGCGTGTGGGGGTGTGGATGTGTAGAGGGGATGTTTATTATCAGATAATTTGTGCACTTCTTTTTATTATGTGTAGGCACTACTTAATTAATTAATGTAATAATTTTTGGAAGAAAGAATTCTAAAAGTATTATAGCTCTCTCTCTCTCTGTGTGCACATAAATTAAGAAAATACAACTTCGAACCTCTTTTGTCTTTTGGTGAATTTCTTTGCAGAGAATCCCCAGTAGCCTCAGCTCAAGCTTATGTCTTATTGTTTAATACTGAGGATCGAAAATGGTTACCTAGTGGTGGGACAAGATCACTCTCCTGGATTCAAATACTTCAACAGAATGGTTTAGATGCTTTTCGTATTGTCGGTTGGCGTCAACCAGATAATCAAGTAAGCGTTTCTATTTTGTCTCTTTGTGTGTATGTGTGTGTGTGCATATGTCAAAGTGATGTACATTAATTAATCAAACCTTAAAGGATAAAGTTTTGTTTTAATAGATGATGTATGCTTTAAGCATTCTTTGAGTTGATAAATAGGTTGTTTTTTTGGTAAACTTAAGTTATTTAGATAACAAATATATGTCCATTTATTTTACCTTATATTTCAACTTTTTGACAGTGGTAGGTAAATATATACATATATATATTTGGTGATTATATTATCAATATTATTATTATTGCTCTGTCGGATACTGAGTGGGTGGAACATAGGGCTTCAACAGCACGTCTTTACTTTGTCCTGGACATGTGTTACGTATGCCAAGCCATCGCCTCCCTCGACGAGCTATGTTAGCGGATATAGGGTCAGGCTGGAAAAAAGCTAGCGGCGGTCAAACAAAAACTTGGCATCAGTCAATGAAATCCACAACAGTTGGTCTAAGCCACGTAGAAAGGTGTAGACTTCCAGGCTGGGGTCCTCGGGACGGTAAAAATCTATGGTTGGAAACAATTGGTGACATGGCTCAAAACCGTTCTCAGTGGCTAACGCAGATGCATCCACTCCCTGTGACTTATGATCTTCAACGAAACTGTTTTGTATTTCTTTATTACTCCTTTGTCTCACACCTCTGCTCACTGTTTCTATTATGCTTTTCTTGTACTTTCTTCTCTTGCTTCGCGTGCTACACGGAATGTGGCGACTTGAACTGGTGCACATTTGTGCAAAGTTCTATGTCGGAAACAGACAGACAGACTTCGTGGGCTGTTTTTTCAGATAGTTTGCTATTTTTCGCCTGTAAGTCTTCAAGTTTGTATGAAATTTGATATAAATCATCAATGAAGCCTAGATTTCTTGAAGTCTTCTTGTCGTTACAGCGTATTACTGTCTTCTCACTCGACATGCACAATCTTCTGCATAATGCAGCCTCCTTCTACAATTAGGAATATCATCGGTGATAATAAGCAGTGTTGTCCCACTCTTGTATATTCACTCCAAACGGGTTACTGGGATATTTCCGTTGTGGGATCACTTGTTACGCGCCATCGTCATATATCTGTTGAATGAGGTTGTGATAAAGATTTGTAGCACTTCATACCATAGTTTTGAAGTAGTCAACGTGGTCAGCGCTGTCGAAGACCTGTTTTTTTATCAAAGTCGATGAAACTGAGGTATAGATTTGACTACCATTCTAAGCTTTTTTCACATCCACTCTATATTTTCCAGACACTTTGATATTAGAATGCTTTTCTCCTTATCATACCAAGCTATAAGCCTAATTTATTGTGTGTGTGTGTGTGATTCTGTGTCTGAGGGCTGATGATTACTACTCACTTGCCCAAGTTGAAGTTAATGACTTTGGATTCGAACCCGTTGTCAATTTTGCATAAAAACTCCATTCTTCGTATGGCATTTCTTCTTGTAATATTGTTCCTCAAAAATTGAAAACATTTATTTTCCCGCTATATACGAATTTAAAACAAGTCACATATGTTGTTCTTGAATACAAGATTTAATGAATTCATTAAATTTTGATTGAAACTTTTTTTAAAGTTCTCCTGAAACTGAATGAATTTAGTGAATGTTGCTTCACTGATAACAACATTTGTTGCTTGTTTCAACGTTGTTATATAATTCTATTCATACAAAATGATTGTATTGTTGAAACGTATAAAGATTTTGATTAGCGCACCTTTTAAGAAGTGTTAGTTTCCAGTGAATTTGATCGATTTATTGTTGCATCATAAAATGACATCAGTTCAGCGGCCGTCGTACATTTATTGCCTTATGTAAATTTGAATAAAACAAGAAGAATAGTGATTTGTACAGAATAAGAGATGGTACTATCATTGTTTATTTCCTTCGTTTTTCATCAATTGCGTGCAGCCTAAAGAAATTGAATAAGTTTATGTGTATAGAACAATTTAAACGTACATGTAAATGTTACATAATGTCAGTCAATGACAGGAGACTTTAAACTTAATGAGTAGTGCTCAGAAAATTACACTTACACAGCTTATACACTGAAGGTTCGAGTTTAAACATAAGTAAATGCATACAATGGTAAGGCGGTTACGTAATAAATACGAGAGTTGAGTAAAATGATGGTAACTAATACGCTGAGCGATAATCTAATGAGTTCAACTCAAATCATAGAAACAAGAGACACAAGTAAAGTTAAACCTTCGATTTTCTGAACATGTACCAAAATTGCCAATAAATGAAATAGTTCAATTCTCCTCAAATTTGTCTACTGTGACAGTCTCTATCGAAACGCCTTGAAGCCGATTTTTGTGTATTCAGAAAGAAGCAGTTATCAGTCCTCTTTCCTTATCATAGTAACTAGGTGCGTTTACCCTCTCTCAACCCCCCCCCCCCCCATGGATAAAGTGTAACTTTTCTTGTCTTTTGTTTGCATGATTTGAGTTAAACTCATCGGGTCTTCAGTCAACTTATTCATCTCTTATCTTTATTATTTTTTTTACCAGTTTGACCACGGATTGATATCAGTTAAAGAACCATTAAAAACTAGACAGCTGTTTCATCCTAGTTCGAGAATCATCAGCAGTACGCTTCCACCACACGGGGTTCGAACCCAGGACCTTCCGGTTACAAACCAGGCTCGTATACCATTTTGAATGGTTCTTTAACTGATATCAATCCGTGGGCAAACTCGTAAAAAACAAATTTAAATCCTTACAAACCAACTCTTCAAAATTAATCTGATGCTCGCTAGTGGCTTGCTACAGGATGGAGTTTCCTGGAGTCAATTCTAGTGAGAAGTCGTCGCGACCAGTGAGGTCCAACCAGTCAAGTGTGAGGATGGATTTCCCACCGATGATATTGGTTAGTGCCAGTCGTGCCAAAACATGAATTAGTAGAAGTTAGAATTCATGAGCTGGCCATTGAATCAGGTCCCAGTGGCTGAATGGTATATGAGCTAGCTTGCTGCTTTGTAAGCGGAAGGTCCTGGGTTCGAACCTTGTATGGTGGGTGCGTACTACCGATGATTCCCAAACTAGGACAAAACAGCTGTTCAGTACTCCTTATTTTCAGTGGTACTTTAACTGATATCAATCCGTGGTCAAACTCGTAAAAATCAAATCTAATCCTTACAAACTAACTCTTATCTTTATTACTTAACTATTTTGTCACTATATCGAAGCACATAGCGTATAAATAAAAACGAGCATGTAGCGTTTTGTTTAAACTCGGCGTATAAGCTGTGTAAGTGTAATTTTCTGGGCATTGTTTATGAAGTTTAAAGTCTCCTATCATTAACTCATATTATTTAACATTTACAAGTGTGTTTAAATTGTTCCATACACATAAACTTAATTAATTTCTTAACTTGTACACTGTGGATGAGACGATGAGACGACATAAACATTGATGGTACCATCTCTTATTACTTTACTTTACTTCGGCTATCTCCTACGGGAGGATGAGCCGGCTTCATGAACGTCTCGAATCATCGCTGCCCAGGCACGGCGATCTGATGCAAGGTTTTGCGACAGGGTTATCCAATTCTTTTTCCACAGACGGAGTCCGTAGACGGTTTGTAGCCCCAAGCACTCAAATTCCCATGAAACTTCATGAACTCTCTTACAAACAACTCTCACCATCTCTTATTCCGTACAAGTGTTACTGTTGTTCCTCGTCTTAGTTTATTCATTCAAGTTATAGGAAGTATTGAAAAGCGGAAAGAAGAACTGGATAATACTATGTTTGTTTGGAGGATTTCATATCATAAGCTGACATCTTAGTTGGAGAATCATTGGAAAACCTGCAGGGATTACTTGGACATCTGTTTCCGTTGTCTTACTGTGGGATTCTTCAGCAGCACGTATCCACAGGGGTTCGAACGCATGGCCTTCTGGTTACAAGGCGAGCTCGTAGACCATTAAGTCATCCGGACCCCCGATCCAGTGACCAGCCAATTGATAAATCCTTAAATTCATTAAATTTTCGACCTGAATAAAAATTCATCTGAAGTTGTGTAGTATTAGTAGTTGTAGTAATATTTGGAGAAATGAACTCAATGAAGGACATCTATATATATATTAATATGCAATATGGTAATTGGAAGTTAATGTTCAAAATTGAGAGCATAATTTAGATTGAAAACAAATAAACAAACAAGCAAAACAGAAAAAAAATAAAATAAAGGTTGACTGATGTTTATTTTAGTTTAATTGTTGTTTATATTAAGTAAAGTATTATTTACACATTTAGAAATACAACTTTTTTCCCCGGGTGATTTAATTGTAAGATATACACAAATCTGACTGACTGACTGGCCTATTAGTGTCTTTATATATACCTTGATTAATTAATATTGATAAGGTTCATCAACTAACTGGTGTAGTGTTGTAAACGCATTAGCTAGCTAGCTAGCTAGCTAACTAGAAATCAACAACAACAAAAAAACTGTTAGACAATCACTATTATATCTGATTCCGGTAACAACAGTTACTATGGTAACGTTGTTGTTAGGTTATATATAGTGAATTTACATTCATTCCCGTAGAAAATCATCTTATCAATTCACCTGTAGTGAGTGTGTTTTTTTTCTACTTGTTTTTTGTTGTTTTTTCTGCTTCCAAGGCATGTCAAGGCAAAGATCTACTACTTTTCTGTCTTCTTTTATTTTAATGCGCAGAGATTTTAATCTCAGATGTGTAGCATTCATTAGATAAATAGAATGATTGTCAAGATGTCATAATGTTGTTGGACGTTTTGTTTGTCGGCACACTTATCTTGATGTAGTATTATATATATATATATATATCTTTAGGTGTGGCTTATTGATTCAAACAAATACTAAGCTTTCAACTAATGGGGCTTAAGTTCATAACCTATATCTCACCCAGTTTTATCCCTGTAAAGTTTAACAGTATTAGTATTATCGAACCTTGGCATATGAAGAAATATGACGCGTAGTCCAACGTATG